ATGCAATTTAAAAACAAACAAAGCACTGAGTCTCCTCAAACTTATGGAGACTTGTCCAGCCTTTAGTTGACCCAGTCAAAGTCATGCAATATTGCGTTTCTCTCATCCTTGCCCCAGATGCAATCCCACAATCTTCTTTCAGCCAAACAATGAAAGTGAAACTGACATTGCGCATACATTCCTTTACTTAGTCTGGTTCATGTCCTGAAAGTCAAACTGAAAATCAAAGTAGGGATGCAAGCAATATACTCAGTCAACCATAGCAAGAAACACAGATAGGGGTTATACTGGGTCTATAGAAGGAAGCAATGGTTACCTTCCTGTTCCCTGCCTCCAGAACTCCTTTTGAGTTCCGGTAGAGCTCCCGCAATCGGTGGGCAGACTCCCCATAGAGTCTTGTTGCGGTCCTACAAGTTGTAATCCCGCCTGCCGCCTTCCTCTCAGAACCAAGATTAGACTGAGATTAAGAAGGGCATAAGAAGGGGTTTCATACTCTCGAGATACAGGAGGGGGACAAACTCAACTCCCAGGAGAGGGCTATGATACCTTCACTCGCCTGAGGGCCCCGCAATGATGACCAAAACGCACAACAGGTCAACCAGACGAAGTCAAACCACTCCTAAAAACCGTGTAGTCGGCACTCTGACGGCCCCCCCAAGTTGCAATAATAACCCCTCTTTCGTAGCCTGATCCATTCCCTAGACCGCAGTGTCGTCTCCCCTTACCGATCTTGGTAGTACATAGCCTGTCTGCAAAGCATGGTCATCCTTCAAATCACAGAGTTTTCAACTTTTGGCCAAAACTGCCATGATATTCGAGTAGGCATGCCCCTCGCTCTATCCGAATCTGACCTGCACTAGTATTCAAATCTCAACGGCTCACTCCTCACGTTACTCCATCTGACAGGCTGGGTAGTTCGTCGGCCAGCAGGTAGGTCTGCCACCTCCGTGGTTGGCCCGCTGCGTCTACCACTCCTATGAGATAGGCAGCACATGACTAGTAAGAATGTCTTCAACTCACGTTCTGCCCCTTCGCTACTTCTGCTGACAAAATGAACAGCTCCCCAGCCAAAGAAGTATATCTGAATAGCGTATCGACCAACATGTAAGCCTGCATCTTACTATCTGTCTGCGAGTGCCTGGCTTGGTGCCATAGGCAGCGCATCGGCTAGCGGATGAGTCTTCGGTCCCG